TAAGACTGTGCCAGGCTGTGGTGGCACATGCCTTTATCCAAGCACTTGGGGGACAGAGGCAGGAGGATCTCTGTGAGTCTGAGGCCAGCTTGCCTGCTGGTCTACAGAGCAAGTTCCAGGAGAGCCAGGGCTACATAGTGAAACCCTGACTCAAAAAAGAACAAAAATGTCACATGGTTAGCATCTTTAAAATTTTACACTGTAACAAAATACAGGGAGAAGGCTAAGGCAAAGGGACAAGGCAACTTGACAAGCACACAACTGGCTACTGAGTTTGGGCTGCCAGTTTCCTCTTTGTGGAGCTTTTAAGTTTGTCTTCATAGCAGCGAAGCTAGCATACCAGTAATGGTGGGGGATGGGCATGCTGCGGTCTTACAGAATCCCTCACAGTTTGGATAGAGTTTGGTCCCTCTAGGACCTCACAGAAGAATGGCCCAGTCAGGAAGTTCACATCTGAGCATTACCGTCTGTCTCTCAGTCTTCTTCTTCATCCCACAAAGACTAGGCCCTGTGTCAGCTGGGCCCTCACCACAGTCTGCCCGAGGCTGCCCAGGCTGAGGGGCTGGAGCTGGCCACCAACGCAAGACGGAGATGGAAATTGTGGTGCCAGCCGCTGTTTCCCGCTGAGGAGAAAGCTTTTAGCTCTGCTCCAGGGATGCACACTGTCCTCCGAAAGACTAAAAGCTCTTCGGGCTTGTTCAGACTATTTTCACTTTCCAGATTCTACTTGGCAGAACAAATGGGTGAATTCCAGGGACCTGAGCTCACTTTGAATGCTTTTTCATGTTTTCTTGGTATCTTTGCCATGTTCAAGATTTACAGGAGGCAGAAGGCAAGCAAACACTCGGGATTTCCATCAGCGGCAGAGGTATGCATGGAACACCCTGAAAAGCTACAGTACCAATGCAGAGGGGGCAGTTAATCGCCTCCTCCTCCTCTTTCACATGTGTGTGGGGTACATGTGTGTATGCACAGCCACACGTGCAGAAGCAGCCCAAAGTTGGTGTCTTCCTCAGTCACTCTCCATTTTATATACTGAAGAAAGCGTTTCCCAGTTGAACTCAGAGGTCACTGGTTGGCTAGCCTAGCAAGCACTCTTGGGAAACTGTCACCACCATTACAATGCTGAGATTAAACATGGCAGCCACACCTGCCTGGCTTTCTCACATGGTGTCTGCGCTCAGAGCCTTATCCACTGAGCCATTCCCCCAGCACTTGATATGGTAATTTGGGGTAAAAAGACCACTCCCCTCCATGTGTGCTTGTGTGTGCTCTGTCTGTGCGTGCGCGTGTGGGTTCCAGTTTAAGACAGACTCTCTCGATGCATCTCAGGCTAGCCGTCCATCCCCTCCTGGAGAGTACCCCGTTTCTACCTCCCAGGTGCATGTTACGATCCCGAGAGTTAAGTAGGTTCTGAGGACTTGAGGACAGGTGCTCACACTTGCTTGGCCACTGAGCCATTTTCCCAGCTCATGTACACTATCTGAGCAGTGACTGAAAAATATAGGAAGAGAAAAAGATGTCAAGGAGGACCACCCCAGTAAACACCTGAAATCTAAGCAGTAGAAAATGGGGTGTATTGTGGGGGCAGAAGTCACTGATGAAGGAGGAAGGTCAGGAATAACACCCTCCTCCTTGGTGTTCATGCCAGGAGTCTTTCTCTCTCTGTCTGTCTCTCTCTAGCGGAATCTGCTCTGAAACGTACCTGAGTCTTGGGATTCTTATTTATTCCAATGGTCAAATGCCGAAACTAGGCCTGTGTCTGACTCCTCTGTTTGAAATTCTTACCATTGTGTCTTCCCCAGAGGTCACAGTGTCAGCTGCCACTCCTATCTTAGCAACACAAAAGGATTTTTCCACCATTAATGCATCATTCCACAGAATACATTTCATTTTAACTGAACGATGAATTTTTAGATGCCTCTCACCTCTCTCGACACGTTCCTACTTCCTTACCCTCACCACTCTGAATCATGATCAAACTCCATGGCGTTCACCAAGCCACTGTCTGTCCAGCTAAGTGCTGACCATCACTTGGAGTGCCCACTGAGCAGAGGGCAGGCAAGGGCGGGTGATCACTTGAAGTACGAAGCCAGCCTGGTCTATGTATTGAGTTCCAGGCCCATCAAAGCTACAGAACAAGAAACACTGACCGCTAACTAGGTAAGGGGCGAGATACCCGCTGAGCCTTCTTGCAGGCCCTATGATTTTTATTTCCTGGTTGTGCCATGTGGAGTGAAGGACCAAGCGATTCTGGAGGCCAAAGCTAACATAATGAGGGAAGGGTCATGGAGAGAACAGCCCGATCTCATTCTGCCTCTATTCCTTGTGAAACGCTGGGTTCTTTGGGTCCAAAGCAAATGTGAGCTCACCACCATCTTAACAAACAACTGCTTTCTAAACACCAGCCAGGCCACAAGCTCCCCAAACATTCATTCCACCCTCTTTCTCTCATAGGGCGTAAAACATGAAATGCCCAAAGACCCAGGAATGCCCATGAGTATTCCGTGGAGACGCCAACACAGCGGCAGTTCTTCCACAGGGCGCTGATGCTGACATAGAGCAGAGAGCACACATGGGCACATGCACCGCAAGATAACTGCACACAGAGGAAGTTGTGTGTCGACAAAGTGAATCTGCAGCTGCGCTGCGTTCTGCACTAACTTCAACACCGCTTCATCCAATCAACCCTCCTCTTCCATCTTTGCCTATGATCTTTTGCTTGAATTTACTTTACTTACTTCTGTTCTAAGTACCTACATCACTTCTGGCAAATCTAGACAACATGAACATTCCCTTTTCACATTTGGGTGAAAAATCTTCCTTTGAATAATCTATACTTGTGTGTGTGTATGTGTGTGAGAGAGAGAGAGACAGAGAGAGACAGAGAGTGAGAGAATAATTCTCTTCTTTGGTTGAAATCAAGTATTGTTAATAAAATATCCCTTCTTATATTTAATTTGACACAATATTTCACAATCATAATCAAATAATGTGTCAATCAGGACATAAAATAGTTTAAAATAGGAAAACCAATTCTAAACAGCAACTGTAGCCTGATTTGACTGAGTTATTTTAACATGTGGTATGAACCTAAAATCCACAAAACATGGGCAAATGAGCTGGGAAGACAGCTGTGCCCTGGAACACTCAAACACGTCTGAGCAGCACAGGAAGCCCCATGCCTCAGAGGAAAGAGTATTTCACAGCCCAGACGCAGCACCTCCACTTAGGAGCTGTGTAAAAGACTCTCAACTCGGAGTCTCTTTCACACGCCATCTGTTTGCGTTTTCATTAATAACTGTCCACGTGCAATGATTGCAGGACTCAGCAACAATGCAGAAGATGCTAAGGAGAACATGAAAAGGATTCACACCACCCTCACAGGCTGTCTCAGCACTGCGCTCTTGAGACATGACAGCTTCTCAATTGTGAAGGGCCTACAGGGAAACTCCACCTCCCAGCCTGCCCTCTTCTTCCAGGTGCCCATCTTCAGACATGCAGACACACAGAACTTCTGCCTTTCCGTCACAAATGTCATCACAGCCACAGTCACTGGTTTATGGACATAAGGAAATGGACTAGAGAGAAGACAGCGCAATAGTTCCCAACCTGTGGGTCTCAGCCCCTTGTTTGGGGGCAACCCTTTCACAGGGGTCACCTAAGATCATTGGAAAACAGATATTCACATTACGATTGATAACAGGAGCAAAATTATAGTTAGGAAGTAGCAATGAAAATAATTTTATGGCTGGGGAATCAGCACAACATGAGGATCTGCACTCAGGGACCCAGCATGAGGAAAGGAGAGAACCACTGGTTTAGAGGACACCCTGCCTGCGTGCAAGCGTGAGGATGCGAATCTGAATTCAAGCGCCAGGCATGGACATACACACACCTGCACACACTCACACGTATGCACGCACATCCCCACACACTCCCACGTACGCACGCACACCCCTAACACGAGTGCCGTGGTGTATGGGACAAAAGGATCACTGGGGCTTCCTGGATGCTGGCCTAGCTCCAGGTTTAGGGAAAAACCCTGTCTGAAAGGAATAAGGTGGAGAGAACAAGCCAGGCACTCAGTACCCTCCTCTGGCCTCTGCAGTGCACTGAGAGAAGCAATCACAGACATGAGTGCATATACCATACATACCACATTCACATATACACAGTTACACACATATACACACAATGGGCTGGGCCAAATAATCTATCTAAGTCTGAGATTTGTTCATCTTTGCCTGCCAGTATTTATTTAGATTTATAAATTCATAGAGTTGTCAAAATGTTAACTGCTATTTTATTTATATCTTGCATGTCTATATGTTTTTCAGCCATATATATGCATGTCTAATATGTCTCTCAGCCTTCTATATACCTACAGAAAAAGGCTGCTTTTTTTCGCTTGTTGCAATAAAGATGATCACCTCTAAATTTCACCTAAAATATAAATAAAGATAAGCATGCCCTGTCCCCAGCCCCAAAGATCTATCTCCACAAGATTAGGCTACAATGTATACATGGCCTTCTGAGCGGCTGTCTCTGCTCATGGTGAGCCTAACCCTGCTGTCTCTTTGGTCTGGGAATGGTGAGAAGATGCCAGTGGACATGCAGGGACCCCTGTCTGAATCTGAACAGGGATACCCTCCTGCCATGCACGGCCAGCTTCACTACAACATAGCGTAACTACAGCTGTTTTTATGAGGGATTAGAGTTAGGGCATGCTGCTAGAGAGAGATTCAATTCGATACTTTCCATATCTGTCGATGCAGCATGAAGCAGCAGAAGGTGGCCAATGTGAAAACAATTCCCAACACTGTTTCTGAGATGAAGTGTGATGAAAAATTCACAGAAATAAATAACACTACAGTAGTCTTTCCGTATTAAGAGAGGGATAAGGTCAACTCAACGGTTTCCAGGAAAAACCATCCATCATGAGATCAAGTTCCCCTGTAACAGACGGGACCCTGAAAATGCCCATGTCTCCACACTACCTTGCAAGTCCGAATCACTGGACTTTGGGCTGCTTCTGGCTCTTCGCTCTGTCTTTTTGATCCCAGGTCCACCTCCGCTTCCACCTCCCACGCCTCCACTGCTTCCAGCGCTGTGGCCCTTCCCGTAACCATTGTACACTGTTGCACAGCTGCTCTTATAGATGGTGGAAGGTGGGCTGTTGAGACGGTTCTGGCGGTCAATCTGGCGGTCCTTCAGCTTTTTGTGCGGTGGCTTGCTGTACTGGTCTTCTCGGGTGATGTAGCTCGACATTCCATAAAGTGGGATAATTTCTAGAACGAATGTGGGTGACAAACACGAGCTCAGCTGGCATCGACCACAGTGAGTGATGAAAAGGTCAAGTAACCTGACCCCTAAGGAAGCAATGCGCACAACTACTGTATACATTACAAAACATACTTAGACCATGAGGACACAGCACACGTTCATAGGATCTGCATTCCTTCCCAAATAGTCAAGGTATCATCAGTATTAAACACAACACAGTGCACTTAGAACTTCCCATAAATTATGGAGAAAGAAGAAGACAAGGTTATTTCCAAAGACTTCCTTGGCTGGTGAATATATAACTAAATCTGACCCTGCCTTTCTTGATATCTTCAGCAGATGCAACACACAGAAGAAATGAAATACCCTTTACATGTATACACAGACTCATAACATTTAAAGTATGACTCTCTTTAGAGATACAACCGTGTTTCTACTGAAAAGCACAGAGTTAGCATGATATAAAAAGATATTTGGGGCATATCTTTTTTTCATGTGTGTACCACATGTGTGCAGGTAGCATGGAGGCCAGAATCCAGGCTGGACCACCTAGAACTGGAACCAAACACTGGTCCTCTGCAGGCTGGGGAGGTGCTCTGTACCACTGGGCCCCTCTCCAGCCCCAGGACATGTCACACGTGGTATTTTAAATTATGTTTTGGCATCAACAGAAAATGACAACATATAATATAGATGACATTTCCTTATCTCCTTCAGGAATAAAATAGCTTTTCAAATATGCAGTAACTATAAATCATATGTCACTGTAGGAATAAAAAGAGAGGATTACCCAGAATTTCTAGATATGAGCGACCTAAAGCCAGACAAGCTGAGCAGAAACACATAGGAAACTACATAATTTACCTAATTATAAAAGTACCGCTTCGGTTCTTCAGAGGGAAAACCCCACTGTTCATGTCCTGCCTGTTCACACAGCTTACTTACATCTTTACAAGACAGCCAGTGTGGACGAGAGAATGTCAGATACCGAGCACAGCCATATTTAGAAAGAATGTGTTTAAATTAACTATACTAACATATGTAGAAGCTGGCAACTGTTCTAAACGGCACAAGCATTACACTTGAGAGTTAAAGAAGGCACTGTGCATACTAATGTAAGAACCATTTAAGACAGGGTAAGAATCTTCTAGACATTCATGGTTCCAGGAGTTATACGCACTGAGAAATCAGATGATTCTGTGATATGAAGACTTTATAGCCATCTTTAATTGAAGCTAAAGACGGCACCCTCATTATCTGTGTTGTGGTTCTGCGTTACTCTGATGAACTTAGATCAAAGCACACCGTGAAATGTGTGGCAGCGCTGACTTAATTCTAATGGTGTTTGAAATCATAGTTTACCTTGCCTAAGATTTTAGAGCCATGGTTATCCAAGAGTAACTACCAGGCACCCTAGAGGGCATCGTCAGACTGTGAGTCAGCGACCAGGACTCTGCAGGACGTCAGGGAGGTCACAGCCGACCAGACCTGCTGAAACTCTCAGCATTCCACATGTACTATGACAAAGCACTAAATACCTCTTCACACACTAATGAACTGAGTGAGCTGGTACGTGCCTACAATCTCAACACCTGGCCGGCAGAGGCAGGAGGATTGCTGGGAGCTTAACTCCATAGTGAGACCATGTCTAAAAAAAGTTAACAAGTTTTTTCTAAATGTCTTCATAACATGCTTGATTGGGGGGGGGGGGGGCAGGGCTTATGCCATTAAGAAAATAGAGATCAAATTAGTAAATGATTGATGTGTGTGGGGATATTTACCTCGTGTTTGGCTGTGACCTTCCTACACTCCTTTATGAAAGCATGTTAAACTTCCTCTGATTAACTACCAAAACAAACAAAATAATCACATTTCATTCCCAAGCCACAATAGGATATTTAATTAAGATACTCATCTCAGGTTCCCTTTTGTTCATAATAATAAAAGACAATTGACAATGCGAGCTGAACAGAAAGGAGAGCATGGGTAAAAGAGCGTTGCTGTGGTAAAAGCACAGGGGAAACTCGTTCAGAATTCCTCTGAACTGACAGAACACACGTTTAAAGAGGCAAATGCTCCAATCAGAGTGAGCGAAGCCTTTGCAAAGTCCTAGAGCCAAAGTCTCATTTCACCCTCCCTCTTCTCTGGCTGCCGAGCGTCCAATCAGACAGTCACAGCTTCAGACTAAATCCACACAAGAACTTTGAAAGACACAATGCCGAGAACTCTGAGACTCTCTTCCTTTCAATGTAAGTATTTGCCTAACAACCAGAGACACTGTGGTCAAGGTAATGGCTAGTCTCAAACTCAAACCAGCTGCGGGACGGCCTCACCAGCAAGATGACTGCTGAGTTCTGCCAAGATAGATCTTTCAGAAAACCCAAAGGATATGCAGACTTCACAATCTTCTGACATTTAAAATGGGGCAAAAATCATTTCAATTTCCCTTGTACTGACAGACGATGGTGATGCCAAGGAAATATTGGGGCCCAGTTCTGCCTGAGGCCACCGTTAAAAACACTCATCAACAGGAACACAGGGCAGATGGCTGCCTCACTTCCGGAATAAAGAGGAGCTATCCTACTCCTTGTTCTTGGTGGGGCAGCAGCAAGAAAGAGCTGTGACCCAACCAAGTCAAAGGACTCGTATGAGACAGAATCCAAGACAAAGGAAGCCTGGGACGGCCAGTGGAGTTTCGTTCCAGGTAGGTCTCTTTCTATCTTGCTTATCCACAGGAGACGAAGCGAAGAGGCCACACAAGTTACTGCAGTGTACCCTGTTTCCACAGATGCCAGCTGTAACGGACTCACCTTGCTCACTATATATTGTCGGGGGGAGGTGGTGCTGGGGGAAGAACTGCGGTGGCATATCTCCAGGAACGGTGACAGGCGGGTAATAAGCCGTGTGCGAGTTCTGAAGGAAGTGCGGGTGGTGACTCAGATAAGGGGGCAGGTGATGGGTTGGAGACATGGCTGAGGGATAGCTTGGTGGGTAACACTCAGGAGACTGGGGTGTAACCACCACCCGGCGCACTCCAGTACTGTCTTCAATCACCTAAGGAAGGAGACAAAAGGACTGGATGTAATACAGACTATTAACAATCAAACCCATGGATATGAAAGTATTAATAACCCGCCCCCCGCTAATTATACAAAGGAATTAGTTACTTCCCCATTAATTAAACGATTCCAACTCCACGAAACATTTAGCAAAGATCATTATCTTGCTAGTAAGTCTTAGTTTATCATAAAATGTTTACGTTCATAACACTTTTACTGGACAAGTAACTGAGCATGTGTATAAACAGATGCTAGGAGTAACTTTGTATATAACCATAAACTCAATGCGTTTGCAGGAAGAGATTCTATGGGTCATGCAGAACACTTCCAGGGCTGGGCTTCTGGACCTAGCTGAGAACATAAAGCCTATTTCCGCTTAGGTACATACAGGTCCTCGGATATTAGGAAACAAGCCATGGAAATACACTAAAGTACCATTTACCTAGACTAAGGAGGAGGAAAAAAATGATCCTGACCAACAAATAACTTAGGCAATGGTCAATAAGGATGGTCAAAGGTGTACCTAGCTGTCCTGATTTCACCAAGAACTGTGGCAGACGAGACTTCTCAGGACAACCTATCCTGGTTTCCTCCCACTCGAGGAAGGCAACTAGGGAAGAACAACGTGAGAAAGCTAATGGTGCCTGGCCAGGGCTGAGCTACCATTTTAACCCCTGATACAACCCAGGGAAGGACGTAGTCCATATAACAGGCACCGCTACGACCAGCAGAGCCATAAGCCAAGGAAGGGAAATCAGGAAATGTCAGCATTGCAGAAGGCTACAGGGGTCTAAAAGAACCGCAGGGCTGAAGGCTATGGCTCAGTTACAGAGGAAGGGGCCTGGCTGTGGTCAAATTAAAGAAAAACAGGATATACACACACTCATGTACACACTGTTAAACTGGAATCCAGGACCAGGCTCACAAACACTTGAGAGAATCAATTATTTAAGAAAATGAGGCACACATTCTGACAGGCTTTATTTTTGGTTTCTTTTTTTTTAATGTTTGAATTTGAATCTCTGTATTAAAATAGATTTTTGCATTGCATCTCAGGAAGTTGCTAAGAGGACAAAATAAAATAATTTGTGTCTAACAACAAAAACATACCCTATGCTTAGTTTCATGAAAAAAAATAACAAAACAAAACAACAACAAGAGTATTGCTAAAGTATTGGTGAGTCTCTCAGTGTGTAGACTACATGTTAGTGCACTAAGTAATTCTGACTTGTTTAAGAACACAGGAGGTTGCAGAGATAGCTGGATGGTTAAGAGCACTTGCTGCGCTTGCAGAGGACCCAGGTTTATTTTCCAGCATCCTCATAGCTGTTCATAAGAGCCTAGACTCGAGCTCCAGGGATGAGATGCCGTCTTCGGACCCTGTGCGCATCTGCATACACAAGTCGCACATAAACACACACAGGCTCAAATACGTGCACATAAATTAACAAGAAACTTTCTAAACACTAATATTCCATTACAGTCAACATGCACTCCCAGAAACTGAGGCTCTGACTCACTTCCAGCTAGCACCCAGGGCAACCCTTCCTGTCCTTACAGTTGTGAATGAAGTTATCCACTTCTGGGGCACGGCCTGCTAATCATATCACATTACTTCTGACTATGCAGCTGGAATTTACAAACCCATGTGAAGGAGTGTTTAGGCCAGGACACTGGAAAGCGCGGGCACAGACTGACAGAATCTTGTCCTCAGTCTAAAACACAGAGCACAAATGCTCTTCTCTAGAACATACTTCCTACAACTGCATGTCACACCCGTGTTGGAGATGTTGTCTTACCAGTAATACAAAAAATGGCTACCCCAGGGCTCACTCTCCCTCCCTGCCTTCCAGCAGCTACTAGGAAAAGGGAAGGCACACAGAAGGTGCTCCATTTTCATAAAACATTCCCCAAAGTTCAAAGAAGCAAAGAACTTCCCAGCAGGTCCACATTCCCTCCAGGTGCAGCCACATGGGCCTCACTGATGTAGGAAAGCTGACAGGGGCCACTTGGGCCTCACTGATGTAGGAAAGCTGACAGGGGCCACTTTCCACAGCAGTGACTGTGGTGAAATAATTTATTCTCAGCATTTTATAATTTCCGGCTTGCTATAAGCATATTTTTTTCTAAAGTTTGTCAAAAAGCTAAATGACACACAGATGAAAACCTGTCTTCTTCCCACTTTTATAAGAACATTTGTCCTTAAAATATTGTTCCTAAAAATTAATAAAATAAGAGGCTGGAGAGACAGCTCAGAGGCTAAGTGCACTGGCTGTGCTTCCAAAGGCCCTGAGTTCAATTCCTGGCACCCACAAGGTGGCTCTGTAATGAAATCTGGGGCCCTCTTCTGGTATGCAGGCAGAACACTGTATATACACAATAAATAAAGAAATCCTTTAAGAAATATCAATAATAAAATAAATTCACTCTGAAGAGTAAATTATCTTTATCTACACACACAACAGATTTCCAGGCAGGAAAGTAAGTAGCATTCTGAAGCTGCAAACTGATGTGCATATGAGAGCTGTCGGAAGCTCTCTGTCCTACTTATCCTCAACTTCCTGTGGTATCTGTGATACCGGCATGCGCATATATAATAAGACACTTTCAAAAACCCGTTCTTACCCAAAACAGACCTGTCTTTCATCCTCCCAAAATGAAGTATTAATTCTAAAGTAAGAATAAAAACCCAAAACCAAATAATGACAATTTGCCTGCTGCCGTTTTATAACACAGATTATAGCACACTTTACTTATCAAATAATGACAATTTGCCTGCTGCTGTTTTATAACACAGATTATATATAATACAGATTATAGCACACTTTACTTCTCAAACTCAGATGTGAACTCGACGTAAAGAAATTATTCTCAGGTTTCCCTAGAGAATAATGCAACTTCAGAAATGGTGACAACATTATCTTTTGTTTAATAAAAGTAATTGTCATATATATATGCATATATATTTCTAGTAGGAGAAATAAAACATCTGAGAAATTCAGTTCAAAATACTCAAGGCAACAAAATATACCTTCACTGTCCATAGTTAATTATTGGAAAAAACAAACTTATTTCCTTTTGTGAGTGAATGAAATTATGGCAATGTCCAGAGACAGAAAAATCCTATATTCAATTCCCCAGTGACTTCCTGACACATACCTCTGATAACCACTGAATATTCAAAGGTGAGGAGAAAACTGACCTGGGTTCTAATAAGTGCTATTACAAAAGCCCAAATACAATCATTTCAGAAATCAATGGCTCTACAGAAGTGCCACTCACACATCCCTGGGGAAGCAGGGAACTCTGGGAAAGGTGGATGTGTGCTCTGTCTCTGATGGCCACCTACTGTGAGCTGTGCTGTGCACCCGACCAACGTCCCTCTCTTGACTCCTGTGCTCAAGTGTTCCTGTTCAGGATGAGCCTCAGACTGTGTGTGCAGGTAGACGCTAACCCAGAGTGAGAGTAGGCCCACGGCAGACCCTGTGAAGTCACCTAGCAAATACACTCATTTACGGGACAGAAACAGAGTCCTTGGAAAGTGTTCTGCCATCTTGGACTTTTAGCCTCCAGCAATAAGGGACTTTTGGGGCAGCTTTAGTAAAAACCCATGGCACCTACAGGAGTCTTAGGGCAGGGTGGCTGAATCCGAGTGTCCTTTACCTTAAGTCTGTAAGCCTTCCCTGCTATGAAAAACAAAATGAAGTAAAACCAGGAAGTGCTCCATTCACCTTTCATACACACAGTGTTCTTCCCTGGTCCACCGAAGAAAGCCAACCTGACGACCAACGGTGTCCTGATCTGATTACCATATCTCATCTGAACTTAGAGAGTCTCACCCTCTGTGCACATCCTCACCCTGCCGAGCAGGTGTCCCATCACCCGCCTCCTGAGAAGCAGCAGGTGACGGACTAGAGAGTCAGACAAGTGAGATGCCTTCTAGGAGCTGGGCATGCTTGCTGTCTTGTGCCAAAGGCAGAGTGGCCAGTGAGGTGCACCACATTAACGGGGAGCATCCGGGTCCTACTTACACAAGTGTTTGAGGACATATGACCAAAAGAACCATTAAAAAACACCCCCTCCCCCAAAAAAACAGACTAGTCTAGAGACAACAGCTGAGGGGATCTAGTGGAAGCAGTGTGCAGGGCGGGGGTGGAGCGTTAAGAGGGAAATTCCCAGCCCAATCCCAGCTGTCACACGGAAGCTCCCTGTGCACTGGAGACTTAGACTTGAGCTCGCTGTGTTAGACAAAGAGAGACAGAGCAGAGTGACGTTACCAAGCCAGGGGTCTTTATGATGGTCAACACATCACTTTACCATGTGACAGATTACACAGAAATTCCGAAGGCTGGTCAGTCAATAGGCAATCAACCACTGAGAGTTAGGGCATGTGTGTTATTAAGAGACATAAGAGGCTTCAAGACACAGCCAAATATACTAAGTCCCTGTAGCTGCCGTGCTTTAAGATCCTCAACCTGAAAGGAGGAAAGGACCTGGAACAGGGCAAGACATGTCCCATTATAAACCTGGTCACCATTACCATTCCCCGTGCCCATCGCCTCGCTAACCCAACAATCCCGAGACATGGAGATATAGCACAGAGCTGTAACAAGCAGGAGGTGCTTAAGGGAGGTCAAGGTAGCTCGCCAGACATGGAACTTTCAGGAATAAAAATCAATTTTGATTCCAAGAGTTAGAATGGGCCTTGTAAAACACATGCACAGTTTAAGTGTCTTTTCTCTTAAAATAAAAGCGTTTCACTGGACTGCTTGCTGGGAATGTGAATAAATGCCTTTGTTCTCAAAAGCTTTCTTCCTACTCCCGCCAGCCTACAAAGGTACAGAAGAAAGGGAGCTTGAAGGGCAGGAGGCAGAAAGCAAAGCAGAAGCCTGCGTCATGGTCAGGCAGGATCTAGAAGTGGACAGAGCAAAGGTTGCCCCACATCCAGACTGGGGTAGCAGGGAACACCCTGAGCTGCCCACGCAGAAGCCTGAG